TTCTACCTACCCCTTGGCTCACTCGCCCCCCCAGACTCTTCTCTTTGATTACAGACGCTGTAAATTTTTGATTGTACTCTTGCAGAATCCATGTCATGCCTAGAGTTGTCCGCTCACTTAGACAAGATTTAAGGGGAAAATGTTAATTCTAAAGCACAAATTTGTATAATAAATGTTGGGGGGTTTTTTGTCAGTTGTTTGGGTTTTTTTAATCAACATATTGTTTTTGACAATCTCTCCCAGTGCCTCAAAGTTTTAGCTAGCGCATAAGGCTTCTCATTAGCATCCGTAGCCTATTAAGCTTACTATCTTTTTTGCTGTAAATACGGCTGTTGGAAACACGAGGACACTGTGCAACCTGCTCATTGCTTGCTTTAGACTGTGATACGTTTCTTTCTTATGTGGCCCCCGTTACTGTGATCAGGCCCTGAATTATGCTCTATAATGTGAGAGACAGGGTTATTCTTTACTTCCCCACCCCCCAGCTTACTTAATTGCCACACTTACTTTCACACATTGGTTATATTTATGGTTTTACATTGTTTTTCTTTTATGCTCTTCTCTTTTTATTTTAAAACTTGAATTCTCTTTTTATTTTAAACCTTGAATAAATGCAGTAAATCATCTGTAATGTGAAGTATACATTTATGAAGTCTCTGCCTCACCATATATATATATGTGTGTATATATATATATTCCGGTACCTTTAACAGGACTTCATTGCAGATCCTTTACAGCAATTCATTTGAGACAAAGCTATAGTGTAAGCATCCGATTGACATAGTTCGGGGGGGGCCTTGTTGGCTTGCTTGTTTGTTTTTGAGACTGGTTTACACTAGCATAGCTTTTAAGTATGTATGACATTTTCAGGGTTTTGTCCTGATGTTATTACAGATCATTTTTAGTTATGAGATGTCTTATTTATACATTTCTGTATTATAACATGCATAGGTTTCTTCTAAATTACTAGAAAAGTGTGTTCTGTTGCATGATAACATTTTCCCTTGTAGTTTCCTTGGGGCCTTGGCTTTCTTGTCTGTTTTAATTTAATTTAATATATAAACCAGAAGGAAAGTGACTAAAGGTGGTACTACTGTGGGGGGGTCTTGTTGTGGGGGTTTTATTATTTCTTCTGAAGCTGTAGTAACATAGTTTTGAATTAGCTATACCAAAGTAGAAAGGTACTGTAGTAATGTGAGACAGTCAACAAGCACGCAAGCTTGTATCACAAGAGCATCATACAGAAAATGCACTTGATTGATAACCTATTGATATATAACTAATCTGTTGGTGGGGTGGGCATTTTTTGTCAGACTTTCCCACCACCTTCCCCTCCCACAACATGCTTTGCAGAAACCAGGCCCTATATGTCTTTCATAATAGCCTATCTGGGCGAACATAGAGGGTGAACTTTGCTCAAGAATAATGGAAGCAAAACTAGTGTTAGACGCGGCTTTGAGCAATTCAAATGTAGTATACGGCCATAGAGTCTCATAGGCAATACCATTGCAACTGCTGGCATGGGGTATATTTTGCTACATTAAATTAAGCTCCTGCTCTGTGTAGGCTTCTGTAGAGGACAGTTTCTCCACTGACTGTAGACAGACCAGCTTAGTTTTACGAGTATCCCTCCCCCCCACTGCTCTTTCTCTCTTTCTTATCACTAGTATCTCTAGAACTGTTGTGTACGTGTCCATTGTTAAGGAAGGGGAAGGTAGCTTTAATTGGAAAATAGCTTTGTCACAGTGACCCCATTTGGCAGTTAATCAAATTTCTGAATAGGTCTGGCTTGTAATTTATATAATTCCCAGTATTAGAGTGAACGCATTTAACGAACGTCACATTTAGGCTGTATTCCATTGTGTTAAGCTTTAATTTTAACTCTGAGGAAAATGGATGGTAGAGTCACAGTGTTGAGAACTCGGGACAAGATGGCTGCTGTAAATGCTAAACTAATATATGTCCTTAAATTTTCTTTAAACTCCTGAAATAGTTCAGACTCATAGAAAATATTTTAAAATACTCACTTGGTATTTAAAAAAATACATCTTTTGGAAAGATGTTGGAGCCCTGCATCAAGTAGAAAAAGGAAATTAGGCATTTATGTATTTAACTGATGTAAGAGTCCCTATGCTCCACTGTCAACACGACAATAACTAAGAGTAAAGTTTGTTGTGGTCCAGTTGTGTTCCTGTAGTTTATGGGTGACTTCCGACAGATGAAGGGAGAGAAACCTGTCAGTAGGCTGGTGGTCACAGGAGGTTCTTTGTCTCCACTGTAACACTTGTAAATGCTTGAATGTCACACTTAACATGGGCAGCAAGTCTGATAATCTAGACTGTCTCCACTCAATGGCTGAGGGGTTTTTTTGGTTTGGTTTGTTGGGTGGTTTTTTGCTGGATTTAGCTCTGTTGGTACTGACAACTCTAGGGAGAACACAAATATTTTACATGTTTGACAGAACAAAAGCCTGCAAATCGTAGACATACATATAAAAATGCAAATAAATGAGATCATGTCAGAAATTAGTTGGAACTATGTCAATTACAGAACAGGACATTGTATTTGATAAAAGCTGCCATGACTTTTAAAGATTGCTTAGCTTTTTGTGGCAGATATTTTTCCGTCATTATAATGAGGGTCTGAAGGGGTAAGGATTGTTAAACCCATGAGCAGATGTGACTTTTTGATTTAACGTTTTTAAGTAAGTCCATTTGTTCTGCTTGCCTGTGCGTGCATGAATTCTCGATGGTAGCTGGAATCAGGTGGGGAGACAGATGAGAATTCATTGAGATTAAGAACAGAAACCAGTCTGCTTTAGCGCAACCTCATTTGCAGTCTATGTACAATGCAGTACAAATGTAGTCTGCATTTTATGGTAAAAGTTGAACTGGACTGGGTTCTTAAAGGCACGGCAGCTGGGAGATATTGTACACCTCCCAAGAAAGGTACAAGGAGATTTGAGGTCAACAGAATTCGGAATTCTTTGTCTACAACCATGAAAAGCAGCAGAGTCTCCTTAGTGCAGTAATTGTCTAGAGACCTCCCAGCCCAGAAAAGCAATAGAAGCAGCACTTCTGAACAGTTTCCTTTCTTTCCTTTCCATTCACTTAAAAAAAAAAAGGGCATTTTCTCTGAGAGCAATCTCATAATGCTGTGATTGTAACAGATAATGTATTCGATCTATCGAGCTTTTGTGTCAGCTGCTCAAGATATGTGTGTTGTTGCTCAGTAACAGTTATATGCTGTAGGTCATCTGTAGATTTTTAGCTGCAGTATGTCTCAGGAATTATTTTAGATTACATTGCATGTGTGTGCTGGATACAAAGAGGTGAAGAACAAGCCTCAGTTGTTGTGTTGGGTTTATTTGAGTAAGCTCAGTTTTATTTGTCTTAGGTGGTCTAGACTCTGGCTGTTCTGCTTCTCGATAACGTTTAACCTCATCGGGCAAATGGGAAGAACACAAACTAAAATTAATGGAAAGGAAATATGACCATGCTGTTGTATCTAGGTGGATTAGCTAATGAGTATTACATCTTGGACAAAAGCATTCGTATAAGGCTGAAAGCTTTGAGAATGGCTCTTTAAAGGTCCAGACCTCTGTTGGAAACCAAATTTCTGTTCTTGATTGAGAAAGCTCTAATAAAAGTGACCAGAATGGTAGGTGCTCTCATAGCCGAAACCTGAATATAGAAAACAGGCATTCATTTGGTGTACATAAAACTTACTGCCAATAGTAGTGCATCAAGATACAAGGAATCTACAGTGGTGCTTCTGATTTCTGGGTGTGGGTGTGCTTTGGTTTTCTGTACTGCTGACTACTGGTGTTAAATTACTCTTGTAAGCAGGTTAAATTGACATGGTTTTGTTTGTTTATAAGTGTTAGTTCTGTAAAGAGCTTGGATAATATTGTTGTGTGACCAAATAAAAAAAACCCTAGAGACAAAAATATTGACATGACAAAACCACATTTAAAGAATGACTCTCTGGCCCTCACTCCAGTTTGAACATAAGTTGATGTCGAAGTCAATGAAATGTAAATTTGTTGCATTGCTTTGCAGAAATTATGTAGCTTGCAGTGTGCATCAATCTGCCCATTACAGGAAGGTGAAGTAAACTTCATGGATTTATAAGACATATTTTATAGGATTTGGATTTAAAATTGCAGTGGCTAAAGGAAACTTGCATGTTACTGTTGGTTAAATTTGTTTCCTTAAATCTTCTGGATAATATGTTACCAAGGTACTATCATAAAACTAGCTTTTTCTTTTAGAGGTTTGGTTTTTTGTCGTCACACCCCCACCCCCCCCGATGTTTCAACGTGTTTTGTACCTAGAATTACTACTGTTAGCTCAAGCAACAGGTCATTTTATGACAACTGAGTGCACTGGTGGTTAGTGTTATATTTAAGAAAAGGAAAGATGCCTGCAGTGACATTTATCAAATTTTGAGTTTTAAAACATTTTCTTTGCCAGATATAAACCCTACTTGATTTTCTAGCTATGAATTAAATTGTCTTTGTCCTAACATAATACACTTGCATTCACAAAACCTCTGAAGTTTCATAAAACTAACTATTGCATTCCATAATAGAAAAACTAAACTTTAAAATATTTTTAGTATTTCTAGAAACTAGGTGTATCTTAGTAAAATTGATAATTTGGCTTTGATTAAAACCAATATCAGAAACGTGCCTATAACATAGCATAGCTTGATGTAGAAATTCTATAGATAAAATGATGCTTTTCTCTTTGCGAGATTCAAAGGTAATAGATATTTGGGTATCCGTTTGTTCTGGTAAATGTTGTTGCTGATACTTGTATTGGGGGACAGATATCTGTAATCAGTTTTCTGATTTCTGAAGAGACTGAAGTTTGTAATTAAATACTACTCTTTGACTCTTAAGTCTTCATACTAGTTGTGTATTTATCTTATGCACATACAAATACAGTAAAAGTCAGCTAACATTTTAATATTAATTACATCTACTTTTTCATCAGCTCCTGGGCTACAGCGAAAAGCCAGTAAACCTCCAAATGTTCATCGGAACAGCAGATGATCGCTACTTAAGACCTCATGCGTTCTACCAGGTGCACCGAATCACTGGAAAAACAGTTGCAACAGCTAGTCAAGAGATAATAATTGCCAGCACAAAAGTTTTGGAAATACCACTTCTTCCGGAAAATAATATGTCAGCCAGGTACATCACAGCAGAAATTAGCTGTTTAGTTGCTATGTGTCTTTTTTTTTTTTCCCCCCCTTCCTCATTTGTGCAAAGGTGAAAGAAAAATCTTGTAGGCTAGCATGTTCTCCACAAATATGGCTCATGATTAAGATAGACACATCTCTTTAACCATGCCAATGTTTAGGTAGTTAGAAGTAAAGGAGTAGAGAGACAGGGAAACTCGTAAGATTGATGGGGAGATAGATGAGTGGTTCTGGGATTATACTTCCCCATACAATCCATATACACATATATATGACTCCACATTTGTAAAATTGCATGCGGGTTACTGGCAGGTAGAGTTTTTGTTTGATTTTACAAAGACATAAGACTTTTTTCTGTGAAAATACAGTCGTACAATTGAGTTGTTTGTTTCTTGATTGAATGTGGTGATTTAACTTCTGGTATCTTGGTAGGCCTTTTCCTTGTTTTGATTATTTTTTTATTTGTAGCAGTTGCGTTATTCTGACTTTAAAGGTCTTGCCAGATAGGATGTGCTAAGTAATAGTTTAATGGTTAGTTATAGCAACAATTAAACTGCTCTCTTCTAGCTGGAGGGTCAGTGAACAGAGTAAAGCACGATTATTTGTTTAGGTAGCACATTTATTTATTAGGTAGACTTCTGAAGTCAGCTTAAATTTTCCTAGTTGCAGACTTCATCCTAGTTCCATTGAATGCTGTGAACCCACGATGTTGTGCAAGATAACACTCCTCACAAGTTTATGTGTACATGTTAACTTGATTAAAGTATGTGTGTCTGATACGAATAATCGATCACTATGTGGAATGGTAGCTGGGATTTGATGGCTATACTTTTGTCATTCTCTGGTCCTTCCTAAGGCAGAACTAAATACAGGTCTCTTGCTCCTTGTAAATTATGTTTACTATGTTAAATAACTTACTTCGAAGGTTAAACAATGTGCAGTAACACGTAATCTTTTAAAGGTTCGAAAAAGCAGCAGCTAGACTTTTACAAGACAAAATGTGTCAATAGAGTACTTGCTGCCATTTTTGACCCTAACAGATCTTTTAATCTCAGACATTTTAAATAACATATAAAATAGCATAACAGGGGGAAAAAGTAGAACGCTCTTCATTCTTTAACAAAAAGAAAGGCTTACTTTCGCAATAGTTTGATTCATTTTCTTCCATTTCTCTTCTGATCCATCCGTCCCCTCACCTATCTCCAGTATCGATTGTGCTGGTATTTTGAAACTTCGCAATTCAGATATAGAGCTCCGTAAAGGAGAGACAGATATTGGAAGAAAGAATACCAGAGTGCGACTTGTGTTTCGTGTTCACATCCCACAACCTAGTGGAAAAGTCTTATCTCTGCAGACTGCTTCCATACCTGTTGAATGCTGTAAGATTGCTTTAACTATACCTAATTTATACTCATGTTTTCTGCATGCGTCAGTAGTATTGTCATTCTGACAATATTTATTGTCAGAATTATATGTAACAAGTATGTGTAAAAAGCATTGTGTGTGAAGAGCTAAATTACCAAAAATTAATATATCTTTAAATAAAGATGGTACTTGCCAAGTGGCAGCCTGAAGGTTTGGAGGAAAAACAATGTTTTAGGCTTTGAACCTAATACTGCAGTCACACAGTAGTTCCTGTACATGAGCAGAGGCAGCTGATATATCTCAGTGAAAATAAATATTCATTTCAGGAAGAACTAATACCATTTTATTTACGAGAGTCTATACCATATCTTGTCTTTATACAGTATTATCTAGTGAACAGCTGAACTTCTGGAGAGTTCATTTGTTAAGTGCTGGCACCAAGGAATGAAAACAATCCGGATTTCTCCTAGAATTTATTTTGTCTATAAGATACTAAAGTAATCTTTAAACCAATATTCCTAAACTAAAAATTTCATTTGCTGTAACAGTAGAGACTGTTGGGATTCGTGGCTTCTTGGTGTTTCTTTTCTATAATTATATAATTTCAACAATTTTAAAAACAAAGATAAATCATACACAAATATGATTTATATATTCAAATAGATAGTTGTTTTAGTTTCACCCCTGATTCTTGAAGTTAGGATCAGAAAAGAAATGTCATTATGATTAAAATAGTGAATAATAATTTTTCCCTTAAATTTTTTTTTAAAGCTCAACGATCTGCTCAAGAGCTTCCTCAGATTGAGAAGTACAGTATCAATAGTTGCTCGGTAAATGGAGGCCATGAAATGGTGGTGACAGGATCCAATTTTCTTCCAGAATCCAAAATTATATTTTTTGAAAAAGGACAAGGTAAATACTATCTTACTTTTTTCTTTTTTTAAAACAAAACCAAAAACACTATCTAAGCTTGATTTTTAGGAAGTAAGGCTGTTTTAAAAAGAAAAAAAAAAGTCACAAATAGTAATCTGAAACTTCAGTTTGGGCACTGATCTATATGCTTGTTGGCAATTATTAATGAAATAGTACTTCTGATCCAGGAAGACAATTACAGACTAACTGACTCTGAATGGTGTGTATTTGAAAGATGCTGTTGACAGATCATACCATGTATTTTCTCCTTCTTATTTAAAAAAAAAGAAAATGGGAACTAATGGAAATGTACTATTTGGCATTGATGTCACGTTACATCTGATTTAATCACTGCACGGGAACTGACTTAATCCTAAGCTAATGACACAAATATACCTTAGAAAACACTACTGATTTTTTTTTTTCCATATATTTGCGTAAGATTTTCTGTAGAAGTTACTCTTAAGGGATGCATTTCTTAAAAAGTCTCAAGATCTGGCTCAGATTTGGTGTGCTGTGTCTATGCCTAATTTGCATCTGTAAACAGGCAAGCGTGCATGTAGGTAAAATCCTGGCAATAAGCAGTGGTATGAACAACAGCGACCTTTTGTATGTGTATTAAACACTTGTGTGCTTGACAAGCCAGTCAAGTGTTTAATTGCCAAGAAATCAGAAATGTTATAGTCAGTTGTATCGCATGATTCTTATTCTCTAGAATCCAAGTTCAGTGTTCTAGGCAACACTTAGTCATGGGTGAGAACTGCAGCAGGCTTACACTTGTATGTTAGCAAAGTAGAGTTAAAAATCAGATTGCAGGCATGCGTTTCAGTTAAGCTATACTGAAGACATAGTGTTTCCTTCATGTCGTGAAATCTGTAGAAAAATTTAACTGCTTCCTACTGATCTCATGAAATGAAACAAATTATTCTTTGGGAGGGTAGTAGATTAAATTTTTCAGTCTAATACATAGGAAATAGAATCTCAAAGTAAGCAAGAAACTTGCAGATTTTGAATGAATATTTCTAAAACATCTTTCTTTAAATGTAAGTACAGGTTTGAAAGCTGCTTTTTTTTCTAAACCCATGTTGTTCCTCTCTTCTATCACTTTAATAATGATGCAACTCCATAAACTAGAGAATTTAACACCAAAAAAAGCCTATCAAATACTTTTTAATTTTAGTCTACTACAACCAGATACAATGAATGTTTTGCAAGTTTTCTTTGGTTTTGTTTTGTATTATCCACAGGTGAGCATACACACACACACACACACACACTCTCTCTCTCTCTCTCTCTCGGGTACATACATACATACATGTATTACTCAAAGATGTTCAGTTACGCAACATTCCTTCCTGGTTCTGTAGCTCTTCTGGATATATACATCTTGATCTTAATATTTCTTACTTAGACTAAAAGAAAAATAGTTGAAAATTTAGGACTAGCTGTCTTAATATATAGAGTTCCTTTTCTTCCCTGATTGTCCCTTTAATATAGAGAGCATAAAACTTGAACAACTTAATTTATCATTGCTGTGACTTGAATACCTGATTTGAACTTCTGGGCAAAGAGTAGCAAAAGTAAATCGTTAAAAATAAAAGTTTGCAACCAAGTCCAATTCTTCTACATGGTATTATTTCCTTAAATATTTAAGTAAATGAGTTGTTTGCATTTGCTAATAAAAAAAACCCATGTAAGTGGGGGGTTTATGTAATAATATATTTTGACACACAACTTGAATGCCATTTAAAGAAGTACTGCTGCTAGACAATAGGTTCCTGATAACCTGTACAAAACCCAATAACGGAAAGAACCGAGTGTTAGATTAAGGGTAACGGGTTATGCTAGGTCAGAGCAGAGAGAGATTCACCAAGGTGATTTACTTCCCTCACACCACAGACAACCTGCCTGGTATTTGAACTGTGGGGTCTTTTGGTTCAGAGGAGGGTGTGTGTTTTAAAGGTATAACTTGTGGGTATGTGCATGGAGATATGGTATGTGTTCTCTCTCGCATGGTGACTTACAGGTTAAGTCATCAGCGTGTTTGTTTGAATAATCACAAGTGTTAGTAGTAATTTAACTGCCTTTCAAAAATGTTTTTAGAAAAATGGGGGGAAAATCCCTCTGTACATTTATAGTACACACCGCCTCCTTTGGAGTTAAATCTAACTGTGTGTAATCAGCAGGTTCCATTAAAATGCAGAATCCTGCACAACAGTCAACTTACAGACAATGTCTGTAGGGTTGACACTCCTAAAGCATCTCTATACTTTACACTTTGTTTACAATACATCTCTGTCAGTTGAATGGCCTCTTTATGACTGAAAATAAATGCAGTTTTATATTACGTATTTAAGTATTTTTAAGATTAAGTATTTAAGTGTTTTAGAAAATGCTTTTTGCTTGAATTATTTGTAAATTTCTCTCAACAGATGGACGACCTCAGTGGGAGGTAGAAGGAAAAATAATTAGGGAAAAGTGTCAAGGGGTGAGAAACAATTTTTCTTACTTTAGAAAGCTTTCTGTTTTAAAATGAGAAACTAGACATCTTCATTGTTGTTCTGAAATCTAGACTTTGTTTAGTAAAGTAAGTAGATCATTGGCTGATTCAGACAGACAACTGGAGACTTCTAAATTGGCTTAATACTATAACGTAGCCATTAAGATGATGCTTTGAAGGAACTGGAAACAGTATGCTTGTTGTGAAAGCAATGAAAAAATAAATTGAAAATTGAAAAAAGAAAACTGAAGAGAATTTTGCTAAGATGACAAATAATTTCGAGTGCATTAAAATTTTTCTTAAAAGCTTAATGATCCAAAATGCAATTCTTTGACTGCTAGAGGTTTTTTATGCTTTGGCAGATAAACAAAGCATCCTTTAGATGATGTGTCTATTTCATTAAAAGTATTACCTTCAGAACACTTGTGTTTAAAAGAAGAAAAAACTCTCCAAATAAAAGTTTGCTTATAGTACTGTTTTACTATGTAATATGCATAAACTTGAAGTTTATCAATTTCAAAATATCAGTTTGCTTTAGTTTTGCAATAACTGTTTTAGTTTTTCTGTAATTAAGAGCAGTTTCATTTGCATTTGATATGTAAAACTTTTTTGTTTCAACTTTCATACAGGCAAACATCATACTTGAAGTTCCTCCATACCATAACAAAGCTATTACAGCTGCAGTTCAGGTGCAGTTTTATCTCTGCAATGGCAAGAGGAAAAAAAGCCAGTCTCAACGTTTTACTTACACACCAGGTATTAAATAAAAAAAAAAAAGTTGCATTTTACTTTGTTTTTTAAAGTAGACATTTGAAAGTAATTCAGACAGTCTTGTACCTTTGACGGGTAGATATGACTAGCTTTGAATTGTTTGTGAAACAACTTACTTAAGCTTGTCTAATTAAGAAGTTGACATTTAGAGTAATAAGCTACAGTGCTATGATTACAGCCAGGTATTTCTTCGTTACACTTTTTACAGAATAATTTGCATTCTACTTTTCTTTGAGAATGATGGTGAATCTCAGAAGCTGCTCTTCTAAATAACCCTCGTGATGACATGGAGGATAGTGAGATCGTAGACAAACAGGTTTTATGTGCGCACACACACCCCCCCCCCCACCCACCCAAAAAAAAAAAAAAAAAAAAACCCCCCCCCCCCCAAATGTCAAAAAAAAAAAAAGAAAAATAAAACCCCCAAAAAACAAGTTTTGGATATAGTTATTTTCCCCCCTCTGGACACACTGCAGCATGTTGAGAGAAAATAGTTTGTAACTTAGCCAGAAGTGAAAACTTTACATGTAGTTAAAACATGTTAATCCCTTCCATTTGGTATGAAGAAGTGGTTACTACTAGATATGCGATGCCTACTCCTTTGCCTGCCCCTTACTTTCTTTTCTTTAAGAAATTCATGCCCATTTAGAGTAGTCAGAATTCGCAAGGTACCAGCGATGGCGCTAGACTCTTTAGTACCGTTGGGAGGCCTTGCAGTCAGGTATTTGAAGGAGTCTTTAAAGTCAGATATGGATATCAATATAAACTACTTAAAGCTAATGTGTACGCTGACTATGGCAACTACCGTTAGTTCACACTATTTAAAATAAGTTTTGCTCAGTTGTGCTCTAAAATTACCTACTTCCTACCTTCATGCGCAATTTAAGCAATGTTACCTAGGTATTTGGTACACTAAGTATACATTAATTGTGTTATCAGATTTATGCGGTATTTTTCAACTATTCTTAAGAATATCAGCTCCTGAGGTAGTTACAAGACACATCTTAAACTATATTTTTGTTTGATAAATCCATATTTAAATTATTTAAATGGTGCAATGAAGTAATGACACTTACTGCTTAAATAAGAAGCAAGATTATAACTGCAGCTGTTTGTTATTGCACAAACATTTTAAAATGCATTTTTTTCTATAAATGTTTCTTTAACAGTGTATTATATAAAGTAGTAATTGAGCAGTTAAAAGCGTTAGCGTTTTTCTACTATTTGTACTTAAAATCAGTATCTTTTAAGTAGCTTAAAAAAAAAAAAAAATCCTGTAACTGAAAGTGTGTCAATTTGTAACTCTCTGTATTATAAGAACAATTGTCGCCATCATTGAAATTGGGGGATATGCTGAAAAAGCTGCTGTAATTAAAACAACATGCACTACTCAAACTAGTTTAACTGCGGTGCCAAAGTTCAGCTGTCATCTTGATGAGAGGCTAAGGAAAGTCTGAAGCTAGCTAAAAATTTCATTCCCCTTTTCCTAGTGCCTGATACTGAACTCTTGTTTGCCTATTTTCAGTGGAGCTCCCCACCCCGCCCCCCCGCACCATATCTTTTTAGATGTACTGGACTTTCTCTGGCTGGGCTGCAACTGTCTTTAAAAATATACATTGCATAGGAGGGTATTTTAGAAGGGAAGATAACTGCCTTTGAATAAATGCTAGGAGATGCTATAGATGCTATATATATTAATATATATTAATATATAAAATGCTATATTAACCCTGGCTTTTAAGGGTTAATATAGCAGGCAAAAAGTAAAAAAAAAAAAAAAAGAAAGCAGAGCCAAGGAAGGGAAATTAGAGCAAGGACATTAACAATACTGTTGTGGCTGGTAAAAAGCCATTAGCGTGTATTTATCACAGGATACAAATGGGTTGGAATTGTAATACCGTGTTTTACTTTTTCTAGTTATAATGAAGCAAGAGCACAGAGATGAGGTGGATTTGTCTGCTGTTCCATCTTTGGCCCTGCCTCACACAAGCAATGTCCAGGGCCTGCATTCTATCCGAACTCAATTGCCTTCACCAGAGCAAGGGCATCCACATGACAATTTACTGTCTACATCACCCAGGAGCCTTGTGTGTCCAGTTCAACCACCATACACAGCGATGGTGACCTCAGCAGTATCCCACCTGCCACATATGCAAGGTAGAAACCTTAGTCCAAGTGAAGAGTGTCATGTTTTGCCTCCTGCTGTGGTTCAGTCTTTTCAGGTAACATCAGCACCTCCTGTGAGGCCTTCTTACCAGCCTATGCAGTCTAACGATGTATACAATGGACAGCCTGGTCTTCCGATGAACTCTGCCTCCAGCCAAGGATTTGATACTATTTCATTTCAGCAAGACACAGCTGTACCTCATTTGATAAATCTTAGCTGCCAAGCTCTACCACCAATGCAGTTTCATTCTTCGAGTCCAGGTTCTGTGTCAACATCAAGTACAGCAGGGCACCCGCTAGCACACCCAGCTCATTCCGGACAGTCATCTTCTCACCTACCATCGATGGGGTACCACTGCCCAAGTGCTGGGCAGGGCTCCATCCCTTCTGCGATGAGTCGATCCCTTGGGCAGTCTTCTCCCCAGCTGCAGCAAGTCCCATACCATTCTACAAATCCAGCATCCGCTTCATCACCATCCCCAACAGCTTCCCACCCTTTGGTCCATTCACCGCTGTCTGGACCTTCTTCACCCCAGCTCCAACCTATGCCTTATCAATCTCCTAGCTCAGGACCTGCCTCGTCTCCCCCGCCAACCACTGTAAGTCACTCGGGACAGCACTCCCCTCAAGCCCATAGTCCAGCATTGGGAGGTCTTAATGCAGCGTCATCCCTAGTACACCATACCGTATGCGATTCATCTCCATTTTCACCAGATGGGGCAGCTATTAACATTAAACCAGAACCTGAAGATCGAGAACTGAATTTTCAAACAATAGGACTACAAGACATCACACTAGATGATGGTAAGTGGATGTAATATTTTAATACTGGGATATAGTCTACAGTAAACTACAAAGTGGGTGTGGGAGGGTTGTTTTGTTTTGTTTAGAACACACTCCTCTTCAGAGAAGTAAATTTGTATCATCAAAACGGAGTCGTATTTTTGTGTCCAAAGCAACGACTTATTGAAAACTAATTATATCAGCTGTAAATTTGGAGTTATACAGTTCAAGTACTTTAGTCTCATTTGCCCATAGACTTTGTTTTTGTCATAAAACAGGGCTTGAGGCTTAACTCCTACACATTGACACCTTATACACAAGGAATTCATTTGAAGCCTTTTCTGATTGTCTTCTTGGTATGTTTCAGTGAAAGCCATAATAATATATCTAAGTTGCATAAATGTAGTTTGGAGTCTTGTTTCTTGGAGTTGTCCCAGTTTTGAAAGGCAGGCTAGTTTTTTGACAATGTATCACATGCATTTTGGCACTGTCTTAGTCTCTTCACAGACATGCTGTAGCTACGCTGTCATCGTTCAGCACCTCTGCTCACAGTAGCTGTTTGCTTTCTCCTTACCACTCTGGCTACCTTTTCGAGACATTCACTTGTTAACATAAACAGAACAAGGACATTCTAGTGCTAAAGGCCAGGCTCTAAAGTTCTCTAATACTGTCCAAGTATTTAAAGTAACTTACAAAACTTCTCCAGCCAAGTGAAAAGAGAGAGAGAGAGAGATCAGATCCTAAACATTAGACTATTTGAGGCATAGATGCAAAGCAATATAAAGAACATGTCACGTTAATAAGGCTGGAAGAACAGAAGGTCTGGCCTTAAAAGGTGTGTAAAAGGTGTTTGGTATTGATGATAGGAATCTTACTAGTATCTGTTTTCTACAATAGCCTTAGCTGTTGCGGTTTTCTGTTTTTTGGGTTTTTTTTTAAATCATCCCTAGTAATTACTTAATTGCATCAGCAGTAAAGACTTACGTGTAGGCCATCTGTGAAATATCTATGTCAGTCCCAGTTCCTTGCATAAATGGAGCTTTGCTATTGTTACCTCCAGTCAGTAGTAAGAAAATGTAGTAAGAAATGCCTTTAAAGCATACTAGGAAGAAAATGAGAGAAACTGATAGTATAGTTGGGCTTTCAGTTAAATGGCCATCCTAATTAAACAAAGCTCTCTTTTTAGAAACATTGTTTATCAATCAACTTAACTTTATTTAGAAAGGAAGGAAGAGACTGATTCTATCAAGGACTTGCTGAGGGGAGAAGAACAAGGCTTTACAAAATAGAATGCAACAAAAAAAAAAGCATTTTCTACTTCTGTACTACAGGAGCGAGAAAGAAATCTAATGTTTCAAGAAGTGTCATGTTAGAACCTACCTTTTTCTCACCCTTCTTCCCTCCGTGCCCACAAAAAAGGTGCAGAAATAACTGAAATACAACTAGACACTGTGGTTAAACTTCTCACAATACAAGCAGAAGTGTTTAGCATTTATGAGCGTCTTGGCAGTTTGTTTATGCTTGTTCAGAGATTAAAGTGAATGCGCAGTAAAAAGAAAGCCAACCCCCCCCCCATCACAAATATTAGTTGCTTTTAGAAATTATTTCCATTGCTTAACACAGTGAAATTACTGAGTTTTTTCTGTGCTGACGAAGACATCAAATCGCAGGAAAAGCTGCAAGAGCCACACTTAAAGCGTGCCCACTTGCTAATAGTTTAGAGAAGTATAGTCAAGATACATATGAGTCAAATGGCCACAGCTTTATTAATTTCTTTTTTTAAACAATGCTTGCTATAGAAGTTCAAAGAAGGTCTGATAACTGGTGATTAAACTATATGCTTCCTATATGGAAAATTGAACACTGTTTTAAAAACTCAACCAGCACTTGGCAGCAGCAATACGTTTGCAAGCATAGAGATTACCTTCATTTCAGTTTCGTATTACCGCCATGCGATGATTGCTTGGGGGGGTGGGTTTGGTTGGGTTTTTTCATTTCCAATCTGCAAATACAAATCAGATGTCTAGCCTGAAACCTGCTGTTCCAAAAATCTTGAAGGGCATAGTGACAAGAAACAAGCTGCTCAATTCTCTCAACATGAGTAAATACTTCCTCTGCTTAATCAGCTTTAAATAAAAAACATATTTAGACAGGAACACTGGGGGTTTTTTTTATAAGGTATCTAACATATTACTGTGGGTTAAAAAATAATTTCAAACTTTTCCTTTTGTGTATAATTCTATTTGTACGGAAACTAAAATTTGGCTAGACACAAATAGCAAATCAGTTATTCTACGTTAATAACAATTAAGAAAAAAATCCAAACATAATTGCATACATAAGTGAACGTTGATGCAGTATGTTCTCCCAGCTAATATATTAAACCTGAAAGCTGTATTTAGTTGGAAAATAGGTTTTTAAGGGTTACCAATTAAGGCGAATAAACATCTCAAAATAAAACACTAAAGCAAAGCCAATTGAAAAATTTATAAATCATGTCTGGATTACTGATCTTAAATATTTGTCAGTAGTCTTAAAAAAAGTAAACAGAAAAACTCAAAAAACCCTGACAGCATAAATAATCTTCTTTCTTTCAAGTAACATGCACTATTTCAAAATTAGCATAGTAGATACTTTATTTGCCAAGAAAATAAAATATTTTAAGAAATTTTAACAAAATTTGAGTGTAGTATGGAACTGCTACCTCATGACAAAATTAGTCCTGGAATTACTAAGCCGTTTAGCTTGACAGAATACGATTTAAAATTCTTTTTAAAAAAACAAAAACAAACAAAAGAACAACAAAAAACCCCACCCCACCTACAGAAGTGCCAGTCTTGGATAGTAGTTACATTCCGGCTTTTTCTTCAAAACACACCAAAAAAACCCAAATCTACTACTTAATATGAACTACAAAGCTGCTTCATCCATCGGTGCTCAAGCCAAGAGCATCTGGATTAGGCTTGATCCAGCATCTCCTGGAAGGTGTAACATATCTGGATTCACCATTTATAGCTTCTCTGCAAAGTCAAACATGCTCGCCAATGGCCAGAATGGAGTATCTTTCTCCATTTTGTTGTATTCCTTTGTCCTTTACCAGTTAGAGCAAGTTGGGCTCTGGTTGGGCTATGAGTGAAAAAGGATTACGTAATTTAAAGGCAGATCCTCTACCTGGGTGTCTGCATACACTCCCCCCTCCCCCCTCCCCCCCCGGAGTTTGTGTGGCTCTTTGCTTTCTTGTTTTTCAACAGGATCTGATAGACGTCTTTAGGCTTTTCTAATCTCCACCTTGAATTTTCTCTTTTATTTGGCTTCCCCTCTTCCCATCCTTGCTTCCTACAGGAAATGCTTTCTATTTCACTTGAAGAAACAAGGGATCAAAATGCATGAGGACACCTAGATATGAAATTCAAATGATATTACAGAAAACATTTGAAACATCACACAGTTTCAAAGTAACTTGCCCTGTATGCTACTACTTAAAAGGTGTTCTGAAAAACACTACTTTTTTCTGCTTAGGTCTTTGCAATAGTCAATCTGCACAAGCTGGTAAACTTTTGGACTGGAACTATGTAAAAGCAGCTTCTTGCTCTTTATTTGTCCCCTCCGCTTTTCCTCCCCTCTCCCTGGTTTGTTGGGCCTTCTTTTTCCCTTAACGTCTTCCAGCAAGTCAGCGCTCTGCCCAACTCCCCTGGCTAACATTTCCCTGTATAGACAGAGGGATATTTAGGGCTGCAAATAGGTGTAAACAAGGCAGCTGAAATGATAAGAAACAGGCAGTTGGTCACTTCTGTCCTTTCCCATATCCATCATCCATACTGTGCTCTGTTGTATACTCATCTAATAAGGGTCCCGTTTCTTCCCCACTTGAAAAAAAAGCTAGTCAAAGTTAGACTCAATCTAGTTACATGATGAGGCCTTGTTAACCTTCCTCCCCCCCCCCTCTGTTTTTAAAAAGTGTTTCTAGTGTGGTGGTTTACCTATCCCACTGTCAAGCTTTAGATTTAAATCTGTTCTAATACTGTTGATCTAAAATTTAATCTCTTGTGGTTTGCAGTTTAGGAGTGAGTTTACCTTGGATTTCACGGCTTTCTACAGTGATGAGATTTCTAACATGTACAACTGTATTTAACCGGTTTTAAGGTATTATGTTAGGCTGTATTCAGCAAATCAGGATGACCTTCTACTAATCCTCTTACATTTTGTTACTCATTGCATCTCCATTACATAAAGCTGGAGATTAGAAAATCCAGTATGTGGATTTACTATAAATCATAACTAGAAATCCTCTAACCATTTTGTGTACATAAAGTAGTAAGTCTGCTTTGTCAGACACATTCCATGTAGAATTCTAAGCCATTTGCATTCATTCATGTTAATAGTTCTGTGATAACTCTTTAGTTGATAAATTCTCTTGCTGGGAAGCTCAGAGATTATTCTGATCTCTGCCAGAAAATTTGTACGTCTTTACAGGTAGCTTTTTACTGTAGCTTCAGCTTAACTTCTGGAGAATCACAGTAGTAACTAATAAGGAAGTATTGGAGAATGACTGTACTTTGTATTTCTCTATATATTTAAAACTTACGCATTAGCAGGTCATCCTTAATTAAGGCAGCGTCCTGCCAAACAGAGCATTGAAGGCCTACAGAAACACAAAAAATACTGAACGCTAGAGTCTAGCTTAGTATGGAGGAGAGCAGCTCAAAACCCTGTCGTCTTGCCGGTGCAACTCAAAGTTGAGACGTTCATCTCAAACTCAGGGGTTAAACTTTACTGTCTCATAAGCACAGAACAAAATGTTGCATCTTGCAGCATGCCTGACAAGGATTTGTGTGATGAGAACTCTAGCCTACATTATACACAGAACTCTCAGAATGTTCCTGTTGATAAAAGGCATTCTGAAAATTATACTAGTATAAATTGTTTAGTAAGGTTGTGTTCAAACTCCTCCTGTCTTAGTATTCTGTATATTAAATATATATTGTCAAGCAGTATGGAGATAGCAATAAAAAGCAGTTTAC